AGAACTGGCGTGGAACTTGATGGCGGTGAAAGGAGTCTCTCTGAGCTTTGGTTAGGAATCCTTTTAGTGTTGGTTTCACGATAAAAAGACTTCAGATGGGAAGGAAAACTCATGACAGTTTAACCTGGTCATTATATTGCATGTGTCTGCCGAGAGGCGTGTACTGGCTGATATTGACTGTGATCCGGAGAGGTTAAAATCTGCCATAATAACACGAGGGCTGTTGTTCGGAGTTTCCGTGGCAAGTTTTTTGCACCGTAACTTTGTTATCATGTAAGAAATTCTGCAATTTAAGCGCCTATTGGCTAATTTTGTAACGACCAATCTCATTGGTCGAACTTTGACTTGTTTTTTTCGCGGGCAAAATCTTTTTTTGCAAGGATACAATAAAATTTGTTTTAAGTTTTAAGGTAGGCCTTGTTGAATTGTTTGTCTTTCTTGTCTCTGCCAAGGGTTAAACAGTGTGAGAAGAAATTCTCACAGTTTTTATTGCAAAAAAAGATTTTGCCCTTTTTTGCCCCTGGGAACAGGGTAGGGTAGTTCTTCAATGAATAGGTAGTGTCTTTTACTTCTGTATAACACAATCGGTCACTACAAGGTTAGAAAAGCAGTCATTAGCTGGTCGTTGCTGGAGCATTACTATTTCGGTTGCTGAAGTTGAAACTCGGCTATTGTCGAGTTTGTTCATAAAGTTCTTCGTGTAAATGTACACATTTGTCGACAGTCATTATGACAGAATTCTACAGCCTTGAAGGAATTAAGCTGGGACAAGAAGTCGTCTCTGAAGCATAACCACTTGGTTGCTGAAAGGATCTTCAATGCCTAATTATTAGGCTTGGACTTAAAAGGCTGTGCAAGAAATTCAAAGTTGAGTCCGGACCATTCCAATAATAATACGTAACTGTCTCTGAAGCATTACCATTTTGGTTGCTGAAGGACATTCAATGCCTAATTATATAGGCTTGGGCGCTAATAGCCCTGACAACTAGATTCATAAATGAGTCCGGACACTTTCAAAGCTAATCCGCAACTGTCTCTGAAGCATTACCATTTTGGTTGCCGAAGGACATTCAATGCTTAATTATTTAGGCTTGGGCGCTAATAGCCCTGACAAATAGACTCAAAAATGAGTCCGGACACTTCCAAAGCTAATCCGCAACTGATTCAAAAGGGTGCGGGCCGTTGTAAAATGCCCGCGAAAAAACCAAGTCAAAGTTCGACCAATGAGATTGGTCGTTACAAAATTAGCCAATAGGCGCTTAAATTGCAGAATTTCTTACAATCAACAGATCCAAAAAGTGTCATAGTCCTACACAAATCGTCACAACTTTAAAAAAAAAACAAAAAAACATTACGTTGGTTTTCTAATTAGTTCCACACAATTCAACAATAAAAATGGTTGGTCGAAGCCAGGTAAACAAAACTCAATGAAAATAACTGATATAGCACAGACTAATGACAATAAGGGCTCTGGGAAATTAAGTGAAGGGTTCTGGCCCGGTAGGTGTCCCACAGCACTGTAGCGTGGGCCTGGCCGTCATCTGGCTACTGCAAAAAACTCTATGAAACAGCATCAACTTCATCTTGACTCTTGGAATGTACAAACTCCCCAGGATAAAAACTCAGCACCAGAAAGAAAGACAGCTCTGGTCGCAATGGAGCTACAGAAGTGCAACATTGATATAGCTGCACTGAGTGAAACTCGTCTTCCTGGTGTATCACAGCTGGTAGAAAGAAAAGGTGGGTACACTGTTTTCTGGTCTGGGAATGATGAAAACGAGCCGCGACAATCGGGTGTAGGTTTTGCTATCAAATCAAAGATTGCTGGATCATTACCTTCTCTGCCTAAGGCTGTTTCTGATAGAGTAATGACTCTCAAAATTGACCTTTTTGGACAGCTTTTATGCTCCGACCATGAACACGTAAAGGATCACTTCTACAATCAACTTTGGAATATGTTATCTACCTGTGACCATAGGGATAAATTACTTACCTTGAGGGACTTCAACGCACGTGTTGGTTCTAACCATCAGACATGGAATGGCGTCATTGGCTGTCACGGTCTCAGGCAAATGAATTCTAATGGTCTGCGATTACTCTCTATGTGTAGAGAATTTGATCTCAGTATCACAAACACTCTGTTTCAGCAGTCCTGCTGCCGCAAGTCCTCATGGATGCATCCTAAATCGAAAGATTGGCATCTTATTGACTCTGTCATCACCAATCTGAGAGATGTTCGATACTTTCTCATCACACGCTCTTTTTTTTATGCCACCTGTTACCTCGCTGACCACACTCTGCTTCGGAGCAAAGTCGTGTTTCGTCCTAAACATAAACGGTTACAAAAGTCATCCGTACTAAAACGTCTTAATGTCTCGTTGCTGAAAAAACATCATTATCTTTCTGATAAACTGGACACTGCTCTTCGGGCAGTTATTATCATTTCTGATGTTGAATTATCATGGAAGGCATTGCGTGAAGCAATTGATGCTGCCTCTCAGGAAGTTCTCGGACTTCCATTGCGTAAACATCAAGATTGGTTTGATGAAAATCATGCAGAAGTCCAAAAACTGGTTGATGAAATGCATAAGGATATAGTGGGTTATCAGTTATAGTGAAGTGTATGAGTGTGGAAACAGATTAGTTTGATTTGGCCTTGTTAGTTAGATAGCCTACGATAAGAGGGGTTTAAAACAAGAAAATCAAAGTGTAAAGTGAAACAACAAATTTATATACACATAAATCAATTAAGGTCTTTACAAATAAAATGTATTTTGGTTGATACAAGGTCGTCAAAATGTTCGTAGTAATCCTTGCAAGAATGAGTTAGTGTACGTCGGCAGGAACGTATATGTGGATGTATGTATGAGCGTTATCGAAGGGTAGGAATGTCTTTGAAGTAACCGCTCAGTCTTAAAATGTTCCCTTCGTTTATAAAGTATAAAAGAGGTGAGGGAGAAAGAGATAATAATAACGATCGCTTGACGTTTGTCAAGGGGTGTGTTAATACAATCGTCTCATTCTCTCTAGTGACCAGCTAACTTATCCATTTTTTATTTTGCTTATGGGGCTTGAAAAGGTTATTTGGGAATTCACTCCCAGATATGATTCGAGCCTTTCCATTGGACGACGGACAAACTTCACGTCGGCTCACAAAAAGGTCCATAAAAGAATTTGTTTCCTGAGAATTGAAGATTATTTGAATTTTGTTTTTAAATGTTTCCTTGTTATCTATTGGCCGAAAAAAATTTGCATCAAAGTGTGAAATTTCACAAGTTTTGTTTTGGATTTGCTTTTGCATGTTAAGCAAAGTTTGTAAATTCGAGTCTTTTTAATTTCTAACAAAATGAATGAGTCAGTGCTTAGCATTTGAATTTTAAATCTAGATCTTGCTTTGTTCACTATAATATCATAAGATCTGGGTGAATGACAAAAACTGATAGTCAAAACAAGCCAACTACAAAGGGTTTAAAGCAAGAGTACAACATGCCCTCAGACAAATGGCTGCTGATAAAAAGGACTCGAAAGCTTTTTATGATGGTTTAAAAGCAGTGTATGGTCTGCAAAAGCACCGTCTCTTTCCAATTCTATCCAATGACGGGGATACTCTCCTAATTGATAAAAAAGCCATATTTTAGTGCTGGAGAGACCATTTTGAAACAGTGCTCAACAGTGCTATTATAAGTACTTACTGCTGTTGGAAGTCTTCAAGGGATGTCGTTTTTGATAATGTGATAAGTCTATGAGATCTTATGAATGATTGTCTTCTTTAACCCTAGAACACTAACCATGGGTATATAGTACGGAGCACAAATTTTCCTATTTTTAATAACAATTTTCAGCATTTGATTTTCTTACCTAAATAATGTTTTTCAGTTCCTATTAATGTTAACTGCATGTAAAATATTTCAAATAAAGATTTATATTTAATATTTTTTTGATATTTTCAAAATCGGGTAAGATATACCCATGGTTAGTAGTGGTGTAACTTTAATTGATTGTTAGTGTTCTAGGGTTAAGCCCTAGAAGATTCATTTGCTGGAAGCCAATTTTAATCATTGATCTGAGAAAACAGTTGTATAGAGTTGATAGTTTACATATTTTTGAACAAATTGGACATCAATATCAGAATCTCAATCTGACAAGGCTAAATAATGAATATGAAATATTTAAATTGACAGATATCCTGGATGAGTTCACAATTTTGTTTTCATATTTCCTGGCGTTTTGGTGTTGATTGGTTGCCTTGAATGTTCATCATTTTATCTGACACTTTGCAAGCCTTGAAATGTGTCTACCACTCAAAAACCTCATCGTCAGAAATTTTGAAAAAATACTTATTAATAATTCCATAATTAAAATAGAAAGTCACTGCAATGATTGCGTGCCGCCAATCCCTCAGATTGATCAAAGTTAGATAATCAATTGGAATTTGCCTAGATTATGGCCTGCCTCTCAGATGGATCTGAATGTGAGGGGGATTCAGAATTAATTCATAGAGTTCAATACCATTGTCAAAACAAAAGTTGCCAGTGTCAGAACTGTGCAAGTGGATGCATCCAAAATCTCAATGTCATCAACAACGGTAGCAGCAGACTACCATTATATTCAAAATCATAATCTTCCTCAACAAACAAAAATATATCAAATTCTTAAGAAAGTTTGAACAAAAGCGTTAGTCAATATTTTTTTTTAAATTTAAAAATAAAGCATTCCTTTTTCTTACAAAGCAAAAATATCGGCCAAAAAATAAAAATAATAAAATATCAAACAAAAAAAAAAACCTTCTTCATGAAGGTTTTTTTTTGTTTTCTGCTCAAATTAATGAAAAAAAAATCTGTTCAATGAAACAAATGTTTGACCTTTTGCTAATGTATTTTTTGATCTCTGTAAATAAGACATTAAGTCTCTAGTAAATGTAAGATTAGAAAGTGTGTAGAGAATAGGCATCCCAATAAATGTAAGTTTAATAAAACTATATTGTTTGAATTCATTTTCAGATTACACCCCAATATGTTAAAATGCTGGAAAAAGAGAAAAACAGTTTGGCCAATCAACTGAGAGATATGGAGTGGAGACTAGATCAAGAATCAAAGGTAATTTGCATTTGAATGGATTAACTGTAGATCCCAATTAAAAATACTTTTTTTTTCTTCTGGGTTCACAAGCAAGGTCTTAGTAGAAACTGTTAGAATCTATTAACATTACTTGTCTTTATGTAGTTTTCAGAGAAATATATTTTTATCTTATTCTGTAAGTTTTGTGATTTCAACAAACACTCGTTGACACTTTTGTAATGTCAACGAATACTCGTCACTTTTGTAATGCTTGTTGTAGGAGAGACGTTGTAATCACAGATTATAGTAACATCGTTGAACAATATTGGTATCAGACGCCTTCGAATAACACTTTCACTAATAGTACTTGCTCAATAATACTCACTCAAAAAGTAACCACCAAACAGTAATCTGTAAGTGATCGGTATAGTGGAATAGAGAATAGCAATCCATATATCAATAGAGTAGAAATAGTGATCAATTAGACACCACTCTAATTTCCATATATATATATATATATATATATATATATATATATTTCCTTTGCTATCACGTGATCTAATTATTCAAAATGGGATTGCCTGTGTTTGCTCTCTGGAGATCTGTGTTCAAACTCCATTGTCGGCAGCAACACTTTATTCCTATATAACAGTAAGGGATATATTTTTTTTAATTCAAATACAGCAAAAAAGAAAGAAAAGAACCTGAAATATGAATGTTATAAACAAAAACATATTTTTTTAATGCCATGTTCATTCAGGACATATGAATCTGTGGAGAATATTGATTGTCTTTGTGAATTACCATGATTTCAATGATAGTGGAATGGGTTTTGTCTGTTCTTGTGCTGTCTACTCATTGCCTTAAATTCATAAAAAAATTTAAGATAAAAAATAAAGATCATTTACCCTAGGCATTGACAGCAGAATGAGAATAATTTGCCCCTCAGTAAACGAAATAAAGGGTTCAGTTTGAAATTCAATGAAATTTACCTGAAGATGGCTGAAGAGTACAAGTGTTACTATAATAATAATAAAGACAAGGAAATCAATTTGAATATAAATAACTCCTAATCTTAGAAATGATCATTTAAGGTCTTAAAGGTCCATTTCAAAAACAGTCTCTTTGACTTTGCCTTCTTGTACCAAAAAGACAGGGAGTACCTTTTTTCTTGAGAGATATAATTGTAGGCATCCATCAGCACTGGCAATCAGTATTATTGATTATTTACTTGTATTTACTTTCCTCTTAATTTTCTTCCTTTATTTTTCATATTGAGTTTTTAGTTGCATTTTATCCCATATTTTAACAGAGGTTGTCAACCTATGATAATGAGTGGACGTCACCTTATTAAAAAGAGTGATTATCATTTATTTCTGATCCTGTACTCTTTACTCATTATGATAGTCTAATGTTTACTTCTAATGCACTTCTCACCTGTGGATCTCTTTCAGCTTCTTGCTTTTTAGACGACAATCTTAAAAGATTTTAATTCAATGTCCTGACCTGGCATGGCATCTTGGATTCAGTCACTTTCTGACCACCATAATGTAGCTTCCTTGTACCATTTTAATAAATACTTTCATGGTAATTCTTCTGATGAACATTCTTCTATGGTACCTAGACTTTATGAATTTAAGTGCAGTACAAAATTGACAGCAAGGTCTCGTCATTTTTTCATCTGAATTGGCTAGATGTAACCATAAGTTCTTCTCACTTGTGGAACTTTCTTTCATGTTCTTGCATATCAGTAAACTTTGATCTTTTTTCTTCATTCCTCATCTTTTATTGTTCTCTCTTCTTAATCATGTTTTTTTTTTCCTATATTCTTTAACACTCAGTAACCACTAGCGGCTTTATTGCCTTGATTGGGATAAAATGATTAGAAAAAAATCATCTTCTGTATTTTTTAAAATCTTGTTCTTTTTTTTGCCCTTTCTACTCAATAGTATATTCTCAATTTCTTTCACTATCAATAAAAATTCTTGTCTTAGTGGCTTTATTGGGCTGAAATGATTAGAAAAAAACACATATGCAGTAAGGTCCCCTTTGATTGACTTCCAAGTTACATCAAAGCTGCCCAACTGATTTTTTAAGATATTCAGTATGGCTGAGTGTATTCCTGACAAAACTTATACATCTGCACCTAAACAAGGACTTGTTTGATAACAGTCAAGTGTATTTCACACAGACACAGTGGTCAGTGTTCAAGTTTAAATAAAAGCTAGAATATCAAATGTTGACTTCTCAAGATTAGAACTGCCTCCCAACTTGACAAGGTGGTGCAACACAATCTTCCTGACTACATTTTGTCAAATTTTACCCCTTGATGCACAGAGAAACCAATTTCCGATTGAAATCTGAATTGTTTATGAATTAAAATCATTACAATTTTAGGCTTTTGCAGATCTGTACTTGTAATTTTATCTATCCATTTCTTTAGGGGATTTTTAAGTATGAAGACTGATAAGTTTCTTTACATGGGTTGGGAATTTTTTTTTAGGGTGCATAAAACTGCAAATTTTCCTGACTGTAAACTTAGACATCTGTTTTAGCCATGTAAGTGATACTGTTTAAACAATATCACATCTACTTCAACTTCTCAGGGTTTTTCATAACAACAAAATGTCAAACAGAAAAAAACGGATCTGATTGCAAATTAAATGTTTAAAAAAGAAAGCATTAAAAATATAAAATACATGCATTTTTCTTTATGCAGTGATGTAAATAAAAATTCCTGTATTTGTATATAGGTAGGTATATATGGGCATGTGGTTGAGTGTTAGAATGTTCACATTCTGACCATGAGATTTGGGTTCGAATCTCACCATGGTCGATTTGTCATGAAGGATTGACTAGGTGCCTTACTAGATGGGTATCCTTGAATACAAGTGGCCAGCTATACAATATAGGTATATATATATATATATATATATATATATATATGCCATGATCCACTAGCTGTTCAATACCTCAATGATGGAGACCCCTAAGTTTTGATTTGAAAATTCATCAAGACACATTTTAAGCCCCACATTGTTATTGGAAAAAAAAAAACGCCTCAAATTTCTTTGAAACCGATCAAAAAATCATGTTGAACCTATTACTATGTCTGCCACGAGGAAAGTTTGTTTCACTGTCTTATGCAATTTTTTTTCTTACTAGAATCTATCTTACATATTTATAACTCGACCATTCATCTATTTAGTGAATATTGTTGTTACGTCTCATCTGGATCTTCTGCTATATATTTAGAGATTCTAGATATGATACAAATAATAATCTGCAATGTTATTGGTTTTGAATTGGCATCTCAGCTTCAGTTACTTTCCCACTGCCCTAACGTAGCTTCCCTGTGCCTTTTCTATAAATATTTCCATGATAATTGTTCTGATAAGTTTTCCTCTTTGGTACCTAGATTTTTATGAATCTAAGCACTAGATTGGTGACAAGGTCTCAAGATTTTATAGATGAAATGTCTAGATGTAACTGTAAGTTCTATGCTAAATGTTTCTTCCCTTACACTACTTACTTGTGGAACTCTCTTCTACCTTTCTGCTTTCCAGTTAACTTTGATCTTTAAAAATGTAAATGCAATTCCTGTTATTTTATTGTTTTCTCTCCTTAATAGTTTCTTTTTCTCGTATTTGTTTGCAGTAGTTGCTTTGCTTGGGGTGAAATTATTAAAGAAAAAAACTGATTTAAAAAAACAGCTGATTGCAAAGAATGAAAAAAAAAACAAAACAATTTTGTGGTGACAATTGCTATAAATTACAATGTTTTTTTTTTAGGCCTACCATAAAGCTAATGACGAGCGAAAACGCTGCATGTTAGAGATAAACGTGACCAAGAGTAGCCAAGAAGACATGAAAATGAGACATCGAGCCAACCAACTAGCAAATGTCTCTTCACGTACAGAAGATCAAGCGGACCAACTCTACAGTCCAAAACTCCAGAGAGATGTTGATGGGTAAGAAATACGTAAACTTAATTGCTATTATTTTATCTCCCAGATCAAGGCTTGACTTTTATTATTAGAAATTTACTTACAAGTAGATATTCACTGAAATATCTACTTGTAAGTAGATTTCTTTCAGCATAGATGGAAGGACAGGTTTGGCAGAAAAAAACTACACAAGTGTTAGCAGCAAAGTAACAATATTGAATGGCTAAAGAAACCCACTTAGCATATCACTGATACTACCTAGCTAAGGAAGGCGCTGGTACACAGGACATCTTTGTACTGTAGCCATGATCCTAACCCTTTCCTCTTTTAAATGCAATAAGAGAGATCCTGCCTGGTGAATTAGCGCAGCCATCTAAGTATAAAGATATGCTGCAGTTGTACAATAGGCAAAGTAACCAGAAACAATTTTTTTTTTTTTTTTTTTCATACTAAGAACACTAGATCACAAATATCAAAGAACGATTTTTTTTTTATAAATTATTATCGAGGGCAGTCTAGTTTGCCGTGTAAATTGATCTCCCGATCTAAGCCAAAAAAATATGCTCATGTGTTTTTTAAAAATATAGGCTCACGGCCATATCATGCTGAAACACTGGTTCTTGTATGATTACCAAAGTTAAGCCATGTTGAGCCTGTTCAGTACCTAAATGGGTAATGGCTTAGGACTGCTGGATGCTGTAATGGATAATGGCTCAGAATTGGAAATTGGAGAGCCGAGTTAAAATTCCAGTTGGGTTTGTTATATTAACTTAGATTCATACGTTTCCTAAGGGTATTTGCCTGTATCTATTCACCTCCCCCAGCTATGGGTTAATTAGTAGGACTTGAATCAGTAAATCATTATCTCAAAAACAAAAAAAGGAAAACACAGATAATTCTTAGAATCTAAAAATATTTTCAGGCTTTAAATAACCTGAAAAAGGGTTGATAGGCCATAAAAAATTAAATCAATCTAAAAGTGTGAAAATATAAAAAAAATTTTTTATATATCTACTGAGTGTTGACTGATTTATTTTATGCTTTATTAACCCTTTGCAGGCTATGTAAAGCCAGATAATATTTTTAGATTTCTAAGATTTTTTTTTTGCAAAGGATGGGGGAGATATAACAGTTTAGTGATAAAAGTCTTATTAATTAACCCATAGTTGGAGGGAGAAGTAGTGGATTCATACCTAATCAGACTTTGATAAACAAACAAGAAATTATGTGGATATAAAGTGGGGGATCAACTCAACATTAAACTCAATATATAAGCTGATCCCTCACTTTGTGATCACTGTAGTTTCTGTACATTTATATTCTAGAGAATGTAAATAAATCTAAAAGACATAATTGTGTAACTAATCAGTATTTGATTGATTGTTTTCTACAGCTTATCAACCCTTTGCACGTTATTTAAAGCAAGAAAATATTTTTAGATTGTAAGAATTTTTTTTATTTTTGAGATAATAATTTTCTGATACAAGTCCTATTAATTAACCCATGGTTGGGAGGAGAAAAGGTGGGCTTGTACCTTTCTCAAGGATATAATTCACATAAGTGAATTTAACAAACGTGACTCGAATGGGAACATAGCTCTCCAAATTCAAATCGTGAGCCATTATCCATTAAACCAACCGCACATCTAAGCTTACAGCACTTGGTAATCCGAAGCAGTCACTCATCAAGGTAATCTAAATATATAGGAGAACCAGATCAGATGTGGCAGAAATATTCAAAGTATGGATGAATAGTAGACTTGTAAGTATGTAAGATTCTGTCCCAACTATCTAAAATTATTAGACTTCTAAATTTCTACACCCACAATGAACCTTATTAAAAAAATGCTTCCTAAAATAGATCAACTGCATTAAAATGTTGTCCTAACCAAACAGAAAAAAAAAATAACTAATGTACAGGACCTTTGGAGGTAAATTTCAAAAACTTTCTGAACGATAAGTGTTTCTGGAGAAAAGTTGTCCATGTCAAAATATTGGTTGTTGGAATATATTTCATGATCATCATCTTTATTGAATCAATGATGACCAATAACATTGCCGATTCTTCCCTGGATTTTGTCAAGAATCTCTAAATATATAGCAAAAGCACAAGACCAAATAACAGCAGTGGGAAAGTGAATGAAGCAGAGATACCAGATTAGGACCTTATAACATTATCATTCATCTCTGCAGGCATATAGAGGTGCAAAATAGATTCTGTCAAGATTGTCTAGCACGATGCAGTGAACTAACTTTTTTTGCAGCAGATTCAATAGAATTATTCCATATTTGTGGAAAATGAGAAGACAATATAAAGTCTTGGTCTGTTGCTAGGAAAGTTAGTTCATTATGTAATGCCAGAAAATTTTTCTTACTAGAATCCATCTTGCTCATTTATAAATCTATCATTTGTTTATGCAATGAATATTGCTGCCACAGGTGGTCTAGTGATTCTGCTTTATATCTAGAGAGTCTTGAAAAATCCAAAAGGTGAATCTGCAATGTTATTGGTTGTGACGTGGCATCTCATCTTCAGTGATTTTCCAGCTGCCACAATGTCGCTTCCTTGTACCTTTTTCTATAAATATCATTATAGTAATTGTTCTGATGAGCTTTCTTCATTGGTAGCCTAACTTCACAAAATTAAATGTACTAGATTAACTGCTAAGTCTCACAATTTGACTGTTGAAATTACTAGATGTAAGTTCTATGCTAATAGTTTATTCTCTTATGGAACTCTCTTCCAGCTTCTTAAACTCCTGTCAATTATGATCTGCAAAGATTTATATGCAATGTCATCTTATATTTCTTTGAAACCTGTTCTTTTATTTGACTTCCATTTCTCAACTTGTTAGCAACATATTAGTGGCTTTTATTGCCTTGCTTGTGGTGAAAAAAAAAAAAAAAGCAAACATAATCCAAATGATATAAATAATAAATATGCCTATTCTATTTTAGGAACATTAGAGAAAACCACAGAGTATTAGATCCCCGCAAAGGTCCAATCAAGAAGACGGCTGGAGTTCATACACTTCCCAGTTTGGATCAAGATGGATGCTAAGTAGCAGGTGCCTTTAAAGAACGGAGAAAAAAAAAAAACAGGAAAAAGAAGGGAGAAAAAAAAAAAAAAACAGGAAAAAAAAAAAAAAAAAAAGCAAAGGTAGATAGGGAGAGCAATTAGATAGTAATTTTGTAAGCATAGCTTAGATGCAGCACAAGGTGGGAAAGTATGGAACTCACCATTCCGTTGTAATTGATCATATTTGGCAAGCATGTTGAAGTGCCCAAAAGAAAGAAAGTTTGTGTGTGTATGCACACATATATATATATATATATATATGAGGTAATAAAAGTAAAACCATTAATTATTTAGAGATTGCTTTGTTTACATTTTGAATATGAAAGTGAGCAGATATGAAGCTTTTGAGAAAAATAATCTGTTGGAAGAGGATGAACTTTCCTTAAAAAGGGAAAATACAACCTTGCTTTCTGCAACGTTCTTTGTAGCCAAGAGGTAAAGAACAATGGTTTCCCCTAAAAAAGGGGGGACACAGGTTCTGTTGGGGGAAAGCATTTTCTTTACTAAAATCTACCAAAGGGGCAGACATAATTAAATCCTGTTTAGTGTGTTAAATTTCAGATAGAGTATGTCTGTAAAAGGACAATATTAATAAAAACTGGAGGGAAAAAACCTAGCCCTCGATAATCTCCCTCAGAGGTTGAAACATGTCAGCTAAGTTTTCCTTTAGTCTTTATTCATATAGTTTAAATAAATAAAAATGGGTCATCTATTTCATATACAGCCACTATAATTATATATGAAGTTGTGTGTGTGTCTGTGTGTGTATATATATATATATATATATATATATATATATGAAAAGTTTAAAATGAATTATCTGACTGATTCAAGTATTTCAAGATTTATTGAATATCTGGCCCTGATGAGCATTTTGATGCAAAATTCTTAAGAGTCAGTCAATTTGATGAGTCCCTTCAACTTCCTTGATTTACTGAATATTATAGTTCTAGTTATCTATGGAGTGGTTTTTGGCAGCAGTTCTACTTGCCTGAAAAAAGAAAAATAATCTAAAATTCTCAGTTGTAGTACTATTACTACTAGTAAGGTTTGTGTGTGTATGTATATATATATATATATACACATACACACACAAGCTACCTACCTGTTGAGTAATATGACTGCTGAAATACGATACTAACATTTATTATTATTATTTAGAGGCTGAATGAGATTTAGGGAAATTCTTTTTTTTTCCAGTTTGGAAAGATGACTTTCCCATTTCTTCTGATACTAACCTGGTTTTGCACACTTAAATTTTTTGTTTCAACATTGCATATAAAAGATATTTGGCTATCATTAAAATATGACCTGCTTAATGGTGTGGACTTTCATATAAAACAAATCCCATGCATACAAAATGAGTAAAAACAAGAACAGATTGTAATAATAATTTTCTTTATTTATAAAAATAACTTTTGAGGATTTCAATTATCTCTCTCTCTCTCTCTCTCATGGAGTAAAAAGATTTGAAGAAAACTGAGTTTGGTGTTATGAAATTTAAATCATTAAAAAAAAAAAATTGAATACAAGAGTTATCTGACTGATTAGTGTATAACTAATCAGTGATTAATGACTGCAACATGTCTTGGAAGTGAAAGGCAGAAAATTAGAAGTAAAACATACAATGGCCATTTTAATCCTGCTAATAAAAAAAATTAATTAAAAAAAATATGATGAAAATTTCAGATGGTAGGTAAACAAAAAAAAAAAAAGTAGTCTAATCAGGTAGATCTCAATGGTTAGAGCATCAGTTGCTGGGAAATTATACAAGCAACTGATAAATCTTAAAAAAAAAAAAAAAAAAAAAAAAAATATTTTTTGGTTTGGTCAATGCTACCAACTGGCAATGAAGTTTATCCAGGATCAATTCTTAATTCATTTGAGAAAGATAAAAAAAAAAAACTTTTGGCAAACCAAAAGTATTTTTTTTTAGTATGGCCAGACATTAACTCTCATCTTAAAATTAGAGTAAATATCAAAAGCTATAATATTAAGATCTTTTTAACTATCAAATGATATGAAGGTATGATATTGTTGGAAAAAGAATCTTACATATCATTTGCAAATTAGACACTGTCAAAGGGCTGATTTAAAAAAAAAAAAAAAAATGGAATGCTTTTTGTTTAATAACAATGTGTCTTTGTTCCAGAAATCTTCATATTTTTTTCTTTTTTAGCATTTTGACATAGAATTGTTGAAACTTTTAAAAGGATTTGAAAAATTTAAATATTGACCAAAACCTCTTTTTGGAGAAAACAGACACAAATTTGTAAGAGTTGATAGTTTTATTCTTACCATTATAAAAAATGCTATTTACTTGTTAGTATTACACAAAAAAAAAAAAATAATTTTTAAATAATAATTCTTAACTATGCTTTCAGAAAGGATGGAAAAATTATTTTTTTATTGAAAATTATTAAAGGCATCTAGAAATATAAAGTTAAACATTTTTATTAAGTATTTTAAAAAGGAAAATATGGCCAAATAGGTTTATTTTTCTTCTTTTAAAAAGCGGGAAAGTAATTTGTACATGTTGAGTCACAAAGACCATAAAAATTTGCAACCTGACTAATAACTGAATTTTTTTTTTTCTTTTTAATCATTGAAATTAATACTCTTTCCCATTATTGCCAAGGTATAATTGTGTGTGAAAATTGGCAATTGGTCTGCCAAAGGCTAATGCAATGTTTGGAGACCAGACCAGATTGGCAATTGGTCTGCCAAAGGCTAATGCAATGTTTGGAGACCAGACCAGACATAACACCGGATAAAATGTGTAATAAAAGAAGAAAAAAAAAAAACAAACAAAATACAATCTTTACATTTAAATTTCTTAAGTTAGGAAATTTCTACAAAAAAAAAAAAGAAAAAAAGTCTTATGTACATGAAAGGGTACTCAGAAATTATCAGCCCAATCCACTTCCTAAATATCAGAATATTTCTTGGTTGGGCTGAGAAATTTTCAGCACCAACTCGTGTGTCTGTGTGTATATTTAGGATGAGCAGGTAGGAAAAAGACAGATACACCTGATCCCCCTTTTTAAGGTGAGGAGTAATGGATAGTTTTTATACATAATTTATGAGGGTTGGGGAAACTCCAGAGCTTCACATTTGGATCTCTGAATAATGACATTTTGATTATTTACGAGAATACCGACAATCCAGTTCCTCATTTTTCAACATCCATCTTGAATCTTCCCATTTCAAAAGTACAGGTACATTAAAAAATTTTTTGTTAGTTAATTCAGGACTATTCAATCATTTTCAAACAGTGAGCAGTCTTTCTTCCATGTTCCATTTAATCTGTTACAGTTCTACACAACAGAGACACAATCAAATAAACTCATTTGAATATTACAAATTAAAAATATGTATACACAGATCCGACATCTTTAAAAAAAAAAAAAAAAAAAAATTCCCTTTAGTCCCTGAGATAAGACAAGCAAATCTAATATTGCACAATATCTCAAGAAAATTCCGTTTCTGATCCCATTTTCAACACTGTCCCAATACAAAATTTAATGACCCCCCACCCACATTATGATTAAAAAGAAGAATTATTGAATAGTGTTAAAAAATATCTTAAAAAGGAAAATAAAAATATTAATACTGAATATCCTATTATCATCGTTAGTAAAAGATGAACAAGTAATTAAAAAAAGAAAAATGTTAAATCCTGCCCTGGGAATAAAAAAGAGTTTTAAATTTAAATAAAGAGAGAAATACAGGTCTTCTCAGGAAATATACATGGCCAGTGCAAGGGTTCTGTGCAGACCCCCACCCCATACACACTGAATCTATGATATAGTGCTTCCCACTCTATTAAATCTCAATTTTCATAATGTAGTATTCATATAAAATAGAAATTTTATTGTAACCTAATTATGTACAATAATGAATCATATGCAATATTGGTAAACAATTCCACTAGAAAAATTGAAAATAAATACAATGTATCTAAACACAAATTGGAGACATATCATAATAGATCATTTCAAGTTAAATAAATCAACAATATTTTGCAATTTTTAATATTGTTAAAAATTTGAATTTTAACACATTCAACATCATGGATAAAAAAATAGTGAATTTTATATAGGTTTTTTTTTTTTTTTTTTACTTAGCATGAGCAGAACAAATTTATGGATTTAGATGAAAAAAAAATAAAAAAGAGCCTTTAATGGTCGGTTGTTTTTAGTTATATTTGTAATGTATATAAATATAGGTTGAAAAAAAAAAGAAGCCAAATGTTGATAAGATAGCGAGGGTAACAAAACATTTTATCGGGTACCCCCAATCAGACCCCCCCGCCGCGTCGTTGTGTGGTGGGGAGTATGCACCAGCCCTGCGTATATTATGTATTTGTTTTTACTCTGCTTATATTAAAAAGAATTGCTTTAATTCATCCTTGATTATTTGCCCTTGTTTTTCTGAATAGATGATTAGGCAAGAAGTGAAAGAGAAAAGTAATGTAAAAGAAATCATTTTCAAACTTTGAAGTATTAAATCAAAAATTTTCCATAAATCTTACTGAATACATTTTAATAAAATGTATCTTTAAAATTCTTCAAAATGAAAAATAAATTTTGGAATAATCATTTCTGGACCAAAAGTCAACAGCTAAATTTACTCAAAGAAATCTTTTTTTTTTTTTTTAAAAAAACTTTTTGCTTTTAAAGTTTTCAACTATATCTATATATCCAAGCGCGCACACACACACACACACACACACACACACACACACACACACACACACATTTCATAATGTCATGAGATTTATTTTGCTTTAAATAAAAAGCAAACTGCAATTTAATAATTGCTTCTATATAATCATGTAATCAAACCAACCACCTAAAGTAAATAATAAATCCATGGAAAATATCATTAGATTTTCAATTTAAAATAAATTTCTTGTGACAATTTTTTTAACTCTCATATGTCTCTTGGCATCAGCTTAAACTGACACCTTCTTCCTAATATATTGTGGCCATATTGCTTAAAATTTAAATTTTCTTGATTTCAAATGAAAACTCAGAAATTTTCAATTTAAAAATTATCGTATATAATTACAGTTTTGATATATTGAAAAATGATGTCAGTTTAAAATGATATCAGGAGGATATAGATTAAAATACGGGAAGTGATTACAGATGAAAAATGCTCTAGTCCTTTGTTAGTAGTAAAAGAAAAAGCAAAGTTTTATAGAAATTCCGAGAGACACACATATATATATATATATATATATATATATATATATATATATATACATATACATATACATGTGTGAGAGAGAGAGAGAAAAGGCACGGAAAGTTTTAAAATACAGGTAAGAATGGGGCTACAACACAAACAAAGAAATAAACGAGTAAACAGACAGACGACAGTTTCCCTGGATTTAAAAAAGGGAGCAAATAAAGATGATTCATTTTACAAGATTTGTTGGGGATATTAAAAAAAAAAAAAAAAAAAGAAAGGGGTTGGGAGCAGGTCCAGCTGTACATTATATAATATTGCTGTTAGATAACAGGGAGAATTTTGATTCTGTTTCAGGAGTGCAAATACTCTGTTTATATATATATCTCAAAAGATTTATACACTATATATATATATATATATATAGTGTATATGTATGAGGCAAAAATTTTGACTCATTACCATTACTTGGAAGAGTCACTGGGTGAAAAATTTGACTTAAAATCACGTTAAAATAAGTGTTCGCAGTTTTAATCAGCAAGAGAAGATTTGAATAAAAACCTGCAAAATAATGACTTCTCATAATTAGGGCTGTCTGTGATAATAGAAGTTCTTGTTTTCTTTTTGTTTCTTTCTTAGAAAGAGTTCTTGCATTTTGTATAAAAGGCAAGCTAAATGCCATATTTTCTTTCAGTCAATCAAATATGAATAGAAAGCGAATATTTCTTCAATGTACGATCCCTGTACGATCCCTTTATCACATGACTGTTGAAAAACTTTTCTCAGGTTATGCATTTGAGAGGAAAAAAGAAAAGTAAAAAAAAAAAAAAAAAACGTGTATCTTCCTTTTTTCACAGAAAAAAGGGGCAGATAACTCCACCATATCTTTAATCACCAAAACAAGTGGTGCGCTCCAGCAGTCATAGACCAATCCACCAAACTTATTCCGTCTGTTTACAATTGCAAATCCCTTAAATTTCTGCAATGTTTGAGAATGATAGTACTGATTTCCTTGGTGATATGGACTCTACTGTGCAAGGAAGGAGAATGTATTGCACAAGGCGATATCTGTAGAATGCATGACACAGTTGCTTCCTTTCCAAACACGCAATTCTATACACTTGAATATTTACACATACACACAACCAAAGCAGCTTAAAACATCTGATCTCTTGTTTCCTTCTTAATTGTCATAAGCAGTAGAAACTGGTGTTGTCAAAAAATTCATTTTTTTTTCTTTCCTTCAATGAAACCAGCTTGCTGCTTCCATTAACTGCAAATGGTCACCTGGTTTGACAATTGCTGCTTTAGGCTTTATTTGTTCATGTTCTTTGTTGCCATATATATATATATATATATATATAACACATAAAAAGATGATGTGAAATATGAAGAAGTCTGCCTTAGAGTTTTGTTTCTGGGCCAGAAGCAATCTGTTGGAAACTTGTCCTCAAACGATCCATAAAGTTAGCATTGATATGCCCATATGCCAGATTGTACCATCTCACGGAACGTCCCCTGCAATTCAAAAGAAAATTAAATCAAAAAAATCAATAAAATATTTAATTAAGGATCCTATTTAATGGTGAGTAACTTTCTTTTATGGATAAAAAAATGGCAGGAGGAGTCAGTTACTTTCAAAATTTAATAATCCAATTCAGTTTGCTATGAAAATTTATGGTAAATTGATCCCCTTACAGAAACCAAAACGAATTTCTTAACCTCTTCCCTGGCATAGATGTGAATGAAAGTGTCTTTTTCAGACACGGACGAATAAACACGTCTATAATATAACATTCAAAACAAAGCTATGGATGTGTTTATATATCAATCTTGATTCTTTTCATGCCCTCCTGAGCTTGAAATGAGTTAAGTTGTCAACCATACACCTGGTAGAGTTGTTAGCCCCCGCTTGGGTAATTCAAGGTACCTCAGTTTCTTAGTTACTATTTTAAAAACAAATAGAAAAAAATCTGTCTGAATATGAAATGTTTTTCCCAAAATAAGTGGTGGGGACGGGGTTAAAGGTTCCTATTTAATAACGAGTAACCCCTCCAAATACACTTATTTAAATGGATGGTAGAACGTGGTGAAAGGGATAGTAGAAAAGATAAAAATTGCTAAGATACAAAGGATAACAAGTTGTGGGGAACCATGATTGCTCATGACCTGAAGGTCCACGGCATGTAGAGGATTTACTCTAGCATATTTTGACAATGTTGCCAAGGTCTAGAATACAGTTCTCAATGATATAGAAAACAGAAAAAAAACAGAAATAAAGTAGAAAATGGAAAACAGGATTTTTGTTTATAGTAGTACTTGGAAGGAAAGTGTATAGAGTGTGGTCATCTCACACCACAGATGTTGCATCAGTGACCTGTGCAGCAATTTTTGGTCAAGAACAACATTACCCATGTCTGACAACCATTATATTCCCATTAGTCACACTCCTTGTGACTTTTTCCTCTTTCCTCTAATTCAAATCCCACTTGAAGTTGAGGCAATCCAAGTGAATGTGATGAGGCAACTGCTCGCTATCCCCCAAAAAGGAGTTCTGGGAATGCTTCCATCATTGGAAATGATACTGGACGAAGGGTGTGGTTTCAGAAGGGGACTACTTCGAACGAGATTAAATGCTGAATTGATATGTGTTATTGTTTATTTTTATAGCACCAGTCCCAATACTTTTTGACCAGCCCTCATAAATGAATAATTTACTTATGGTAAGTCTTTACAGATTTGGATATAAACAACCAAAAGTGATTTTCATAGTAACTTGCTAAATACTGACAAGTTGATCAAACGACCCAACAAACTTATTTCTACTTTTGAATTTTAATCAGTTTCCTTGTTAAAAGAGTTCTGTATTTCTCACCTGGCACTTGGAGTCAATGTTGAAAACAAAGTCTTTCTTTTTTTTTTCAAACTTAAGTTTACCCAAAATAAGGCTGGAGAGCAAATCAAGGTAGAAGGTTACTGTTAAAATGAGAAGGACTGTGTGATATGAATGAATGAGCTGTGTGAAGAAAGTGAAAATAAGGAGGATAGATAACTCTACTTTGAGTGGCTCTTTAACCTTGAATTGGGTCAACTTTAGTATTAAAAAAAAGATTCTATAGATTACTGAATCTAGCATTTAAAACCTCAAATATAACAAAATGAACAATAAGAGAAAAGGATTTTAGATTTTCTTTTCTTTTTTGTTTGCCTAATAGAAAAAGTACAATCATACCCCATGTCTTCTCGGCTCATGTGAGTCACCCGTGACTTGCCAGCCCCACAAGGCTCAATCAAATAATTTGACTCCATCACAATGCCTTCAACATTGCTAATTTTTGCTGCACTATGTTTAACAGATGTGCTAAACAAAGCACATGCTCCTTTTGGAAGATCTGTTCTCCAAGACCTGGAAGCAAACAAGACAAAGTTCTTAAAGATAACAACAGAAACAGTCACAGATGAAAGAAATGCCAAATTCCTTACCAAAATATGCATTATTCTTTCACAAAACACAAATGAATCTCTATACAACCCATGCTATCATGAGTAGGATTTACTAAAATGCATAAAATATTCATTCAATGATTATAAAACTTAGTGATGAATGGTTATGTGATATCAGTTCCCCTATATGGCACTGAATACTGGAAAATCTTCTCAAAGATGAAGAGACTTGAAGCAACAGAAAAGTGCTTCTACAGAAGGATGCTAAGAATACCAACAACAAAGTTTTAAGGAAAATGGAAACAAAAAGGACACTTATACTTAACATGAGAGAGTTGAACTATGTTCCCATTATGGGGCACATAACGAGGAAAGAGGGCTTGGAAAATCTGATAAACACAAGGACAGATTGAAGGTAAGAGAGACACATGAAAACAATGCATAACATACTAACAGAAAATATTTGTGTCAGTAGTTACGAAGGCAGGGGTTAGCCTATAATAAAAAAAAAAAATTATCACCCCTTAACATAAACATCAGGATTTAAGGTTCACATTTTATACCTTGAGTATGAGATGGCCTTTTATTTTAGGAGTGATTTTATAAAGTTATATGGTCACCTTGTATGCTGACATATACAGTAACTTTTTTAGATATTGCTTTTTTTTTTTTTTTTTTTTCCGAAATTAAATTGACTGTAAAAGAAAAGGACTTAACTTTTGAAAATTGAACAAATACCCACATGGAAGCTAAAATTTCCTTTATAAATTAGAACAAAGGAAATTTGTTGGAGAGCGTTCTTGAAAGAGTCTAAATATTAGAAAAGAATTCACTTAAGTTAAGAGACTATTAGGGTAGCCTGAATGACTTTTTCCTGCTAACCATCCACTTTTTCCACTGTTCTCGAATGAGATCTTTAAATGGCTTGTTGAAACACACATTCAGTTGTGTTTTTGTTCAACATCATTGAAAGAAGGATCTATCAAAAATCTCCCATGCTAACAATTTACCATAAATCACAGGATTTAAGGTTCACATTTTATACCTTGAGTATAAGACAGCCTCTTATTTTAGGAATGATTTAAAAATTTTTTTTTTCAGCCTTGTGTTACATCTAAGCAAGGCTTAGTGAATCACTATATGTTGTGTGTGTGTGTGTGTGTGTATATATATATATATATATATATATATATATAGTCCAGGTAATAGATCCGTTGGTATATAATCCATGTGGATCCTAGTAATATCAGATATTAAAACTGATCCAGAGGAGAGCTCAATGTATTTATCATAACAGAGCATCAACCCAGACTCCTTATCTAAACTGAGGTGTCTCCTTAAGTGGCCCAATACGTTTTCATCAACACTATCTAAACCAAATTCAAAAAAAGCCATTTCCAGACAGTCTTAGGCTGAGGATAGCTGGCACATAGCAGTGCTAGATTGAAAAAGAGTATTTCCACATGAGGTAACTTTGAATTTTTTGTTGTGTATATATATATATATATATATGTGTGTGTGTGTGTGTGTATGTATATATTAGACACACAAGTACAGGGTTTCATAAAATCATTTGTTTTACATTAACATCATCACTTGATAAGACATCAGTAGTGTTGAAACAAAATTTCAGCTTTTGCAGTGATCTTATAACATGCATGTTATAAATTTAAATAAATATTTTATATATATATATATATATATATATATATATATAAGGTTGAAACCAAGTAACACACACACACACATATATATATATATATATTTTACTTCATTCTTCTAAGCAGGTATATTAAAAAGGATAGACATTTTATGTATATTGAATGTATCTATTGTCTTTTCCAAACTGTGAATCACCTGTTGCAAACCTGGCTGGTAAAGAGTCAAAAAAAAAAAAAAAAAAAAAAAATATCCAACATCAATCAAGTCTGTGTCTGAGCTTTCAACTCATTGGAGTCATCTTCAGGGGCATGAAAAAGTAATGTGAACAAATTAAAATCAAAAGTGCTTTAAATATTCTTGAGCTATTGAAATGCTTGTTTCCCCCTGCCTTCACTTTAATAAAATAGAAAAATTTATATTTCATAAAATAAAAAGACTCCACATTGAAATAGACACTCCCCTAGATACACTTGTGTTAGAATTCAGATAGAAAAACTACTGATCTTGTTGACAAGCAAGTTCTTCTTGACTTCAATGATAAATGTAATACAATCATTTCACAGAGTTGACCTTGTTCTCAACTTGGCTAAGTTTAGTATGTATAGGGAAGTGAGAAGAAAATTTCATATGATGCTTACACTTACCTGAGCAAGCAATAATCTCGAGCCGGATGTGGAGGCATACTGTTCCTTGTGTACTCCAAAATATCAGTCTGTTCACTTAGTTTTTCAATCACAGAGCATTCTTGAAGGTCTTCATCCCACAGATATCTAAAAGAAGAAAAAGACAGACATTGGAGATCTAGAAAAAAACAATTACTACCAACACAACAAAAGAAGCAACTTTGCTAATAGAATACAGAATTATTTGTCTTATACATGTTGCTATGAACAGGGTTGGTCCAATCTTGCCATTATTCTTTTTTCTGTTACAAATGGCCTAATGTTTATATATGGACAGTATAACAGTTATTGACATGGAAAGTGGAATTAACATGCCAAGTTTTAATTCCAACAGTGTCTATAATCAAATAAAGTTCCTTACCGTTCTGTGAGTAATCGGTTCAGAACTTCTTCTGGTGGAGCTTCAATTTCAGCATTGCACATCCATTGACGCAAAAGATGAAAGTCTTCAGCTTTCTTGAAGGCAACATCGATACCATTGATTGGGGAACACATTATCCAGTTACGGAACCTTTCCCTTGATTCCTGTACAAAAAAACATACAAAATTTGGTCAAATACCAGAAACAAAAAAAAAGGATATAAATTTCATATTTAAGTTTTCTCAGAATGCCAAATCACACACAAGTATAGGATTGGTGTATACAGAATAAATTCCAATAACCAACAATTGCTATTCTTAAAAGAGTGCTCAATACAGAGTAGAGCAAATATAATTATTTATTCGAAAATTATAACATAAATATGTGATAAAATCACTACTAAAATAGCCATTTCATTTCAACACTTTTGGTGTCTTATCAAGTGATGGTGTTGAATGTAGAACATCATCACTTGATAAGACACCAGAGGTGTTGAAACAAAATGGTTATTTTTGTAGTGATTTTATAACATATTTATGTTATAATTTTCGAATAAATAATATATATATATATATATATATATATATATATATATACACACACACACGCTAGCCATTTCAACTGTAAAATGAGATTTTACCATCAATCTAGTGCTGCATTTAAATTTGTAAATCTAGGTACTAAAGAGGAAAGTCCATCAGAAGAATTAGTATGAGAATATGTGTAAAAAAGAAACACGGAATCTATGTTATGGCAGTGGTAATTAGCACTAAGATTATGACTAAACCCAAAACTTTTTGTCATTATTTGATAAAAATATTCAGAAAGCTACTTAACTCATCATGAAAATTTCTCTTGCAACTTGCTAAATATTAAGGAAAACATTTTGTCCAGTTACCTCACAGTATTAACGAAGGATTCATACTATATAGCCAAACATGTATCCCTCTCTTACTAGTACAGAGCATTATCATAACATTACTACCATCAGTCAGTTATGTGCCATGCATGATACATGCTTAGGTGATCATGTATCTTTTGCTACATGACTGACAAGGCAGATTTTTTTTTCCCTGCAGTAGGTTGCCATTTCTTTTTGCAGTAGATCAGTTGCCATCCAAAGCTATAGAACCTAGTCTGTCCTGCTATTTACCCATAGCTGGGGGGAGAAGAAGAGGATTCATACCTTTACCATGGGTATTAGCACGTAAGTGAATGTAATGGATTTGACTGGAATTTGAACTTGGGTCTCTGATTCCTGAATCCGAGCCGCTATCTATTACCATAGGGTTTCCTATTTTAAAAATATTATAGATATATTATTTAGTTCTTAATTTTCTTGTTATATATTGTCTTGAGTGTTCTTTCTGGTGTTTATAGGATAAATAAAAGAAGCAAATATTAAATTATGATCAATATTAATCAATATTATTTGAGGGGCACAATATTAGATTAAGATTAGTATTATTCAAAAGGCCAATATTGAAAAATATTTGTAAGTTTCACTTTTATTTTCAGCAAACAAATAAAAACTCGTATTTACACACAAATTTCATGACTAAAACCAGAAACTTCCTGTCATTACTTGACATAGATATTCAGTTAACCAGTTGACTAAGCATGAAAATTTGACTTCCTTAATATTATAGAATAAGATTGTTTGTTTTTTTTTCAAATACCACACATACTCCTAATGGAGGATTAATTTATCAAATCTTTATTTCTCTACTGCCAGAAATATTTGGTTTGCTAAAAAGGAATGTGCATAAACGTAAGTAAAATAGGAGAGTAAAGTTAGTACTAAGAAAAGACCTTGGCTTAAAGTCAGTTGGGGCTAAAATACAATTGTTTTGTCCCCCCCCACACACACACACAACCACCACTCTCCACTCTGTATGTAATCATGAGAATGAATGAAAGCTTTGACATTTGTTTTGTAAAAGCTAGCCATCATATTTCAGGTTATATAAACAGCTAATTGTACAATAATAATGGAGTTCAGATTAATTTACAATAAAACAAAATTAAATAAGTAATTATTTCCCCATTTCATTTCAGCATTTTTTTTATATTTGTTATTAATTTATTTTGACATTTCTCTTCTTGAAAAAGATGATTAATACCAAGTTAAAAAAAAAAAAGAAGCATCTGCTTCATCAAGACAGAGAACTTAACAGAATAAAAATGGATTCATTGCAAGACTCCTTTAAATGCAACAGCACTAAGCCCAAAGAATGAAATTAGAAAAAGAAAAAACAACAAAAGTGATCACCTAAGTTCTTGTTGAAAAATACTTTTGTTCTAAAATTAATTAACTGAAAAATTATTTACTATACTGGGCTTATTTTACGGATTTCAGTTTGTAGATTTCACGAGAGATAAACTCTTGTTCGGTTATGTTGAAATCATTGTTTTTTTTTTTATTATCCTTAAGTCTATAAATAAAGACTAATCAGTTATACTTTAGTTTGTTGGGAACAATTGGTCATTTATAACTGAGTTTATAGTCAATTATTGAACATACTTATTTGAGCCTATAGGACAAATATTGATTCTTCAAATCTGAGACCATAGGTAAATATTAGTTGATTATATTTTAAGTTCATAAGCATTTGCTTAGATCAAGAATACTTAAATGTTAATCATCCATATTTGAGCCTGTAAGCATTATTTATTTCAGATTACCAAATAAATTTATAAAGCATTATATATATATATATATAGGTAACTATACTAGTTTCGAAAAACTTTCGAATTTTTGACTTGCCAATAATCAAATCAATCTCGAAGGAAAAAAGGTTTTAAAAAAAAAGAAAGAAAGTCATGAAAGTCTGTCGAAAAAAATCGCACAGATACAGGTTTGAAGCCCAAAGAAAAAACCCCGACACGAGTAAACAACTAACTAAAAAGAGCTCAATACAACCGTAGAGCAGACTTAGTCAAACCTAGTGAGCCAGACAGATTTTGATTATCACCTATAAATATGCGGTTCTCTTTCGCCTGCTTTCCCTGAGGATCCACTTAGGTGAAACCTGGGTAGGTTTGTCTGGCTCACTAGGTTTATCTATATATATGTGCGTGTGTGTGTGATAAAAATATAGTTTTAAAGCATACTGTATTTATGAGTTAAAGTGCTAGATAAAATGAATAAAGCATATGTAAATATAAAAGTGAACATTGATGTCAACACTGAAGCCACTGGATGTTGACATATATATATATATATATATATATATATATATATAGGCCTCAGATAGAAATAGATGATGTCCACCAACATGTGGGGAAAGGGGTTGTAGAGTGGAAAATAATTCATCACCCACAATGTGTGTGTGTGTAACACTTTAAATTTTTTTTTTTAGTGAATATGATTAGACGTTTCATTTATTTATTAAACCATATATTTATTTATTTTTGTAGTAGTGGCTTGAGAAATCTTATTAAAAGAAAAAAATTTGTGCTTTCTGGCAGGAATCAAACTTGTGCCCCTCAAGGCAGAGGGAGCTACTGTTTAGCCCAGGATGCCTTACCAACTTGGCCAGGGAAATCAGTCAGTCAGGTGAGGCCAAATTGCATACTTTCAAGTGAAATTTCTCCTGTCATGGAACAAGTTTTTCATATCTGTTAAGTTTTGTGCCCAAATGGAAAGCGTAATTTTTTCCTTAATAAGATTTCTCAAACATTCATTCTAATAGACAAAAATAAATATATCAATTAATAAATAAACAGAGTACCTACTCAAATACAAGTATCCTCTAAAGAAATAAGGTTTAAAGTGATACAAATCTGTTGAATCAATAAAGATCCATTTTTATATATATATATATATATATATATATATATATATATATATAAAAAGTGTGTGTTAAATTAGTATTTTGTGGATATATTAATAATGAGTAATCTATGTATCTGAAATAGGAAGAGTTTGTAGGGAGTATGATTTTGAATAGATCACTTTCTAGAAATTCTAAAAATAGACAAGCAAGAATGCTGCAGAGTGGAGATCCCATTGGTAAACCAAATTTTTGTCTGTAATGTTGGTTATCAAATGCATATATATATATATATATATATATATATATATATATATATATATATATATATGGTTGACTAGCAACCCTCTATGTTTCATCCTATGATTGAATATCAGCCAGCTCCTCTTTGAGCATATTGGTGGAAATCATCTATTTCTGTCTGAGGCCTATGGGTGAATATCACCTGTCTATTGTTGGGACTATAAGCATTTACTTGGTAGGTGGTCCCTTTGTGACACTATGGACTCCAACGTAGAAGAGGAAGATATGATTTTATGTCAATCTCAGATGTTTCTGTTTTATGGCCAGCAAATATTTATTATTATTATTTTTTAATTTTCTAAGTGGCATTCATTTTGACAGAAGAGTAATTGAAAAGTAAAGTAAAGAACAGAGTGCTTTTGGAGATTAAGCAGCGACAAAACTGGACATAGAGTATATCCAGTTGTTGGTGTTTATTAACTGTTATACTTAGGAGGCATGGTGAAGCAGCTTGGATTGAGGAATCGGAGAGCCGAGTTCGAATTCCAGTTGAATCCATTACATTCACTTATGTGCTAATACTCTTGGGAAAGGTATGAATCCTCTTCTTCTCGCAAGCTATGGGTAAATAGCAGAGCAGACCAGGTTCTATCGCCTTGGATAACAACTGATCTAAAGCAAGAAGAAGTGGCAACCTATTGCGGGAAAAAATCTGCCACGTCAGTCATGTATTGAAAGATACATGATTGCCTAAGTGTGTATCATGCATGGCACATAACTCACTTATACTTGGGATCTGGTTTGCTGGAACATGTTTCCAATACCACTTGTTTGTATTGCTAGCTACACATTGGAATGTGTAGATAGGCGAAAAGTTAGTAGGAGAAACAGCTGATCCATGAGACCGACAGTTGGCGCAAGTGTCCCCTGCCTATCCATACAAGCAGAGCCCTGAATAAAATATCTGATATTGGAAATAGGGTTTTGCATTCCCATTTTCAACATGACATTTTTCTTTCATCTCCATATTACCTTACGGGCATGCAGCAGGCCCTTTCACAGTTTTTACATTGTATATTTACAACTTTCGGTAAAAGTCTTATTCCTTTGCTGGAGTTACAGTTGGCATATTAAAGGGCAGTAAT